TTTATCTCTTATACATATTTTGAAGGCTATATGTATATGTTTTTATAAAATTATTAATTTAGCTGCTAGTATCTGCTACTTTTTTTAATACTTATAATACTTTTTAATACTTATACTTTATAAAATCAAAGATGTTTCTTTTTCAAGTTTCTTTTGTCGCAAAATAACAAGTATTTATATATATATATATATATATATATATATATATATATATATATATATATATATATATATATATATATATATATATGTTAATACAACTTTTTAATGTTTATATTATTTTAGTCTAATAATATTATTATTAGTAATATGTCAACCATCACAAGATATCAAATTCATCAATTCATAAGACAGCATGGTTTATCTATGTCTAATGAAAAAGACAAACTTTATGTTTACAATTTTATTCGTGAATACTGTTCTGAATTTGATGCTCAGTTTGTAACCTTTTTGTCCAAGTATTGTAAATGTTGGTCTTTAAGTAAAAGAATTGATGAAAACTTTATGAAACATAATTCAGTATGGCTTCAAAAAGACTTTATTAAGTCATTTAAAAATCAGGATAATAAAACTGAATCTATAGTTAGTGGTCGACCTGTAAAATTATTTGATGATTCATCAAATAAGACAAAGAGTCGTAAAGTAGCAGCTATGGACTTATTAACTTGTTCATCAAATGAACTGTTGTATGCTAGTAGTTGTAATCTTTTTGAAGATAGCAGAAGAAAGGATGCAAAAGTAGTTCGAAGTTTATCTATTAAGCAACCTTTTGATACAGAACATACTCAAAACACTCTAAATGAAGCTCTAGCACTCATATTAGATATTGATATGAGCAAATCTGATTACCAACGCTTGAGAAATAATGCTTTGAGCAAAGGTTGTAATCTCTATCCTGCTTACAATGATGTTCGTGCTGCTAAAGAACAGTGTCTTCCTGAAAAACCATTATGGACTGTAAATGATTTTTCAGCAGAAATAAACTTTCAAGCATTAGTCGATCATACAGCAATACGCCTAATACAGTTGCAGAAACAAGTTATTGATTCAATGAATGATCTTGAAAGGTTGACTTTATATTCTAAAGTTGGGTTTGATGGATCAACTAGCCAAAGGATTTATAATCAAGTAACAGTTGAGAAAGAAAACAGAGATCTTTTAGAAGAAGCTAGTTTGTTTATTTCTTGTTTTGTTCCACTTCAGTTGTTTGGATTCATTAATGATAAAAAAATAATAATTTGGTCTAATCCACATCCATCTTCAACTTTATATTGCAGATCAATAAGATTTTCATTTAAAAAAAAAAACAATTAAAGTTTTGAAACAAGAGAATCAGTTTATTAACAATTCAATTGCAAATTTGTCTTTAACATTTTGTGAAAACTTAACAATACTTCATAAAATTGAAATAACGATGGTGGACGGCAAAGTTGCTACAGCATTATCTACAGAAACTACATCTTCTCAGTGTTGTTCTGTTTGTGGATGCAGCCCAAAAAAAATGAATGATCTTAATGCAGCTAAAAATATGCCATTGACAGAGATAGGTCTCTGCTTTGGTCTTTCAACTCTCCATGCTTGGATTAAAAGCATGGAATGTCTTCTTAAAATTAGTTATAAATTGACAGTGAAAAAGTGGGCTACAAGAACTATATCTGAAAAGAAAATTATTCAAGAACGAAAACAGAAAATCCAGATAAGGTTTCGTGATGAAGTTGGACTGATAATTGATATGCCAACATCTGGTGGCTCTGGGTCTTCAAATAATGGAAACACTGCTAGAAAATTTTTTCAGAATGCAGAGAAGTCTGCTCAAATTCTTGAACTTGATGTCAGTATGATAAAGATGTTGCATGTGATTTTGTGTACATTGTCATCTAACTTTCTAATTGATTCTTCACTATTTAGAGAATACTGCTACAAAACAGCTGAGAAGTATGTAATCCTTTATCCATGGTATCATATGCCACAGAGTCTGCATCACATTCTTATTCATGGTTGGCAAGTTGTAGAGAGAATGGCTTTGCCTATTGGCATGCTCAGCAAAGAGGCACAAGAAGCTCAAAATAAAAATTTTAAGAAATTTCGAGAATCATTTTCTAGAAAGTGTTCGCGTTCCAAAACAAACGAAGATTTATTAAGGCGACTAATGTGTTCTTCTGACCCTTTGATAAGTAGTTTGAGAAAACCCCATCATCCTAAGAAAAACGCTCTTCCAAATGGAGTTTTTGATCTTCTTAAAGAGGTTCCAATTTTTGACTAAGTGTCAATGACATAGTTTTGATTTTCGTTGGTGTTTAAGATGGTGTTTACTTTATAAGTATTTAATATTTACATAATAAAATAATGAATATAAAAGTTTGTTTTCTTATATATTCGTTATAAAATTTTTTGTATCTCTAATTGCATAAAAACTTGCTTATTTTTATATGGTTGCTAAGGGTATCTAAACTACACAGTTAAAATTTAATTAACTGTTCCTGTAAACCTTTATAGTTAAGAGTGTTTTAAAAGTTTTTATTTCATTTTTTAAAGAAATTTTGAATTAAGAAAAAGTTTCAAAAAAAATTACCAACTGGTTTCTAAGAGCACATAACAGCATAGTAACACCAAAAATTGATAATTTTGTGTTTGTGTTATCATTCAAATACATAAAATAGCAATGTAGCATTAATATCAGTTTAGTTTATAACTTTGATATTTTGAGAAAGTCTTTTTATTTAGGTAACTATGCAAAATGCCTGTTGACATGAAATATAGGTATCCATGGCAACCAAATAAACAATCTAATGGTGCCATTAGATTTGTTATATGAAATATACTCAAGCTGCTAATTATGGGAAAAACCTGATAAATATTTTAAAAGTTATTAATTTTGTCCAGCTAATAATGATTTTGGCCCACTGTGCATTGTAGCATTTAAGATATTCTCCTGTGATTTAGAGTACTGTGTTAGACAATTGTAACAATGGTAACAAATTTAATAATTCACCATTAAATAATAAAAATAATATATAAACCAACACGATGTTTTTAATCAATTGAGTATAAAACATATTATTAACAATGTCACTTGAACAATACAGTTTATGGTAAAAAACTGCTCTTCGATTGTATGCAGTTTTTAAACTGACAAAATTAAGGTTAGTTTGCACAGTGGGCCAGAATTCACTTTTACTGGACAAAACTTATAACTTGTCAAATGAAAAAGATTTAAGAACCATTTTTGTACTGTTTATTAATTTAAGGATTGTGGTTTTAATGGCAACATATTTTATTAACCTTAACGAATATGAATGAAAAAAACAAAACTGGAAAAAGTAATAACTTTTATGGATAAAAAATGAACTTTTATAACCCATAATTACAACATTGACTATTTTTATACTACAAATGTGGTACGATGGATTTTTTATTTGGTTGATAGTGACACCTGAATTGCCTGGCAACAGTTCATTTTGCATAGTTACTAGCTTATGTCACTTTTCTAAAAGCATCGATAATATTAACTAGACTAATACTAATGTGGCAATTTGATTGAAAATTATTTTATGCATTTAAAAAATTAAACACATATTCAATTACTAATTTTAGGTGTTTTTATGCAGTTCTAGTGCTCTTTTTTTATATTTTATGAGACTACTACATGATCCATATAAAAAGATACCTAAAGCTTAAACCTTTTTCTGTATATAATAATATAAAAATTTTGATTTAAAATTATTTTTTGAACCAAAACTTTTATATTCTGATAATTTTAAAACAGCTTTAGCTTCTTTTTCTTGACCATCTTGACCATCAAACTACAACCTGATGCTAACAATAGTTCTGAAGATATATGTGATGCAACTAATGGCGTCAATTTTCTTTTCTGTGTTTTACTACCTAAAGTAACAAAATTCACCTGGGGCCTGCCAGATACTATAGATGGATAAGACTAGCAGAGGTGCTGCATTTTCTTTATCAACTGGATAAGAGCAGCTTTTACAGTTGCATAAGAGCAGAGTTTTCTTTATCAATGGAAGCAGTTAGTAGAATTTTCTTATTATCAATTAAAAATTGAATATAAATAAATGCAATAGAGTGCTGCTACATCAACTATCTTATAGCCTGACTCGAAACAGAGTCAGGCTATAAGATAGTTGATGCTGCTACATCGTCTGAGGGTTTGGTTGTGGTAGTCTATTAAATAACAAATGAGAAAAAAAAAGAAGTTTTTCCAGTCTTTGAAATAATTAAAAAAAACAAACCTAAAACTGACATTTTATGGTAAAAAGACGACCATGTGAGCGTATATATATATATATATATATATATATATATATATATATATATATATATATATATATATATATATATATATATATATATATATATATATATATATATATATATTATATATATATATATATATATATATATATATATATATATATATATATATATATATATATATATATATATATATATATATATATATATATATATATATATATATATATATATATATATGAATTGAATTGTGTTCAAAGGTATGTGTAATTTAGATAAAAATTCAGTATGTTTATTTTATGTTTTTTTTTTTAGAAATTGTAGGCCTATATGTTTACATAATGTTTTTCAATAAGCATATAGTAACAGATTCAACATCAGCGTACTGACTATTTATTATTATCAGCCAGGTTATTGTTTGACCGTAATACAGCAAATTTATTAAAATCTAGCACGCCACTGTCATTTATCTTATGTTTATGTTAATAACAATACAAAATAATTAAGTGGTTAATACTATATGCTCAACTATGTGACTCTCTGTGACTAATGATCTAAAAATAATTAATAATCTGAATCTGTACCATTTATTTAGGAGAAAATATCTAATATAATTAATAATCAGAATAATTAGTATTATTAAAGTATTAAAATTTTATTCTTTAACTTTTTTGTTGTAATTTATTGTTTTTGATTAAAAATATGTAAATACGTAAAAATTTATTTAGGAGAAAATTTCATCTACTTTATGTAAAAAGTTGGATACTATTGACAAAAAACTAGAAAACCATAAGTGCAAGCTTGCTAAACGTGAAAGTTATAATGGAACAATATCAGTCTCTAGAAAAATATATGAGCTTAATCAAGCTACATACAGCAATAGTACAAAAAATCAACCTTTTAGACATTTAGTTCAGTGTGAAGAGAAGGGTAAATTTATAAGTTATTTTATTTTAAAACTAGTTTTTTTTTTCATTTTATTGAGCATAATCAAAAATTTAATATATTTGATAAAAATACTTATATACACACTTTTAAGAACATTAAGCACATTACTTTGTAGAATACATTTTCAAATTGTTTATATATATACACATTAGGGTGGTTCAGATTTAGGTGAAATTTTTTTTCAAACTAGAGTGGAAGCTTATAATCTTGTTTTATATGTAAAATAATTTTTTTTAAATTTGAAAAAAGTTTAAGGGTTCACGGCCCCAAAGTACTTTTTCACCCTTTTTTGACATTTTTGACCAATGTGTACCACCCTTCAACATTATTTAATATAATTTTTTTTTCTATATTTATTCTCACAATGAGTAATATTAAAAAAATATTAGGGATTCTATCATTCATTATCTATCATTTCATTCATTAGGCTCTTTCTGTATATTTTTTTTCTCAACACTGAAAAAGTTATAGTAAAAGTAATAAAGGAGACAAAAAAATTATTTTCCTATTTCTACGGTCTTTTATATTACAAAATCCACTTAAATCAAATTATAAATAAGTTATTAAAATATGTTTTACTATTTTGGATATCAAACTTAGTGAAGTATTTAAAGTAAGGTGGCTTAGTTCTCCTCTATTAATATACCTTTCTTTTAAGAAAAGTATATTAATAGAGGAGAACTAAGCCACCTATATATTATTGTTTTAAAATACTGTTAGTTGTGTTTGATTCTAAATCTGTTTTCTTTGCTCCTTGCTTACCTCTTTTGTAAATATGGTTGTAATTAAGCAAGAACAAATGCTGTCTTTTCTTCACTTTTTTGTTGATTTTCCAGTCAGTTCTTTAACTAGTTTAATGGCTTAATGACAAATCATAAATAACAAAACATAAACATAAACAATAAGAAAACAGAAAATAATTAGTTACTGATGTTGTCAATGACTCATCTCTGATGAGTTATTGACCACATCAAAAGATATAATAATAATTTCAAACTAAAGATAAAAATCATTGACCTTCCAGAACTGTGAAGGAATCTTAAGCCACTGCAACTCACTCCATGTCTAATCTTATCAAAGATGAGCCAAGATTTCTCATTACTAGAACCCAAAAACATGGAGGCTGATCTTGTGCAAAATCTAGAGAGTGAAGAAGCTCTTTATTGACTATCACATATTCAAGTGGATAAACTATTGGTTTTGCGAGAAATGTACTATATAACGCTTTGGCAATATCTTCACTTTTTGGGCTGTTAAAGCCAAACCAATTTTCATCTGTTAAAACCAGCACTACTAAGGCAGGATCAAGATACCAGCTGTACCTGTCAAATGATCTTAGTGCTGAAGTAGCTCCATAAAGATTTATATCCATGATTCTCATCATCTGCCACAGCATTTTCATGTCCTACAAAATTTTTTAACACAATTAGATTAATTCAAAATTAAATTAAACAATTAACTAATCACTTTTAATCTGTTTTAATATTTATTATTATTTTTTTTAACCTAGAAATTTGAACCTCTCTTTTTAAGAAACTGCCATTAATAATAGTTCATATAATTCCTGATAATCTTTTCTTGCTTCATTGTAAAATATAAAGGTTTAGTTTTACACATTTTGTTTGCACAAAATTGTTAAAATTAATTTTATTAAATTAGTACAAATTATGCAGTTGTTCTTAACTTTTTTTAGATCCTATTATCTATTACATCCCTATAGAACTGTTCCACCTCAAGGTGTTGTTTATTTACCCAAGTTCCTGCATGCATTTGAATCCTTGTTAATGGAACTATGTCTTTTTCAAGATCATTCTAGTCTGATATTATGTGTTTAAAGAGTTGATTGTCTGGACCAGACATTTTTTCTACCGGGATAAATCTTGTTGAAGTGGGTTATATTTTTTTCTAAAATACGATTTCTACAGGCAAGGATAGGCAAGCTTATGGGCCATTCATATCATAACTCTGTGGTGCTTTCCAGTGTTGGTCATAATAGTATCAAAGCATATACACTGTATATGATGACTGAGGCCAAAAGGTTCTATTAGATATAAACTGCATCTCATTGCATTTCTCCAGAACCTGACTCAATATGAGGAATGCCTAGTTTCTCACTCTTCCTTGTTACTTTTTACTAGTACAACTAATCTTTATCTTGTGGCTGAAACGTTTCTTTAAATAACTTTGCGTCAAAATAAGCAGAAATCAGCTTACATGTGGAATTTGCCAAGTCTTTAATATGCTATCTGATTTTTTGAGCTTCTGAACTTATCACTTTATCTACAACTCAAAGAGATGACGGTTTAGATAAAACAAATTAATTTACTTCTTCTGAGATAACACTGCTTATGATTGCAGTGTGCTGGTCAACAGAAAGCCCTTCTCCAACAGCTGTTAGCGCTGTATGCTTTAGAATATCTTTAGGAAGTATTATATTAAGTTTTTCTTCTTAGGTATATTTAGCTCACTTTTAACAGAGTCATTGCATTTTGAGCTTAAATAATCAGTGACATCACTTTCTGAGCTATTAGATGTAAATCTTCTTTTTCTGAGGATTTTTTCGATTTTTTTTTGAAGATCTCTCAACAGTCTTTTTCTCAGATCTCTAAGCAGCCTTTTTAAAGCTAATATCAGAACCATCTAGATAACATTTTAAATGCCTTTTTTCCTTATGCATTTTCAAAAACATAATGTCTATACATATAGTTTATTTTGTTCTTTTTTTTATCCATTGTTATTACATCAATCATAATCTTTATGTCATAACCAAAATACCTTCTATTAAAAATCAAAATATCTTTAGATTCTATTAAAAACCAAAATACCTTTAGATTCTATTAAAAACCAAAATACCTCTAGATTCTATTAAAAACCAAAATACCTTCTATTAAAAATCAAAATATCTTTAGATTCTATTAAAAACCAAAATACCTTTAGATTCTATTAAAAACCAAAATACCTTTAGATTCTATTAAAAACCAAAATACCTTCTATTAAAAATCAAAATATCTTTAGATTCTATTAAAAACCAAAATACCTTTAGATTCTATTAAAAACCAAAATACCTTTAGATTCTATTAAAAACCAAAATACTTTTAGATTCTATTAAAAACCAAAATACCTTTAGATTCTATTAAAAACCAAAATACCTTCTATTAAAAATCAAAATATCTGTAGATTCTATTAAAAACCAAAATACCTTTAGATTCTATTAAAAACCAAAATACCTTTAGATTCTATTAAAAACCAAAATACCTTCTATTAAAAATCAAAATATCTTTAGATTCTATTAAAAACCAAAATACCTTTAGATTCTATTAAAAACCAAAATACCTTTAGATTCTATTAAAAACCAAAATACCTTCTATTAAAAATCAAAATATCTTTAGATTCTATTAAAAACCAAAATACCTTTAGATTCTATTAAAAACCAAAATACCTTTAGATTCTATTAAAAATCAAAATACCTTTAGATTCTATTAAAAACCAAAATACCTTTAGATTCTATTAAAAACCAAAATACCTTTAGATTCTATTAAAAACCAAAATACCTTTAGATTCTATTAAAAACCAAAATACCTTCTATTAAAAATCAAAATATCTTTAGATTCTATTAAAAATCAAAATACCTTCTATTAAAAATCAAAATATCTTTAGATTCTATTAAAAACCAAAATACCTTTAGATTCTATTAAAAACCAAAATACCTTTAGATTCTATTAAAAACCAAAATACCTTTAGATTCTATTAAAAACCAAAATACCTTTAGATTCTATTAAAAATCAAAATACCTTTAGATTCTATTAAAAACCAAAATACCTTTAGATTCTATTAAAAACCAAAATACCTTTAGATTCTATTAAAAACCAAAATACCTTTAGATTCTATTAAAAACCAAAATACCTTCTATTAAAAATCAAAATATCTTTAGATTCTATTAAAAATCAAAATATCTTTAGATTCTATTAAAAACCAAAATACCTTTAGATTCTATTAAAAACCAAAATACCTTTAGATTCTATTAAAAACCAAAATACCTTTAGATTCTATTAAAAACCAAAATACCTTTAGATTCTATTAAAAACCAAAATACCTTTAGATTCTATTAAAAATCAAAATACCTTTAGATTCTATTAAAAAGGTCTCTCTATCCTTGATTGCTCCTGGTGTCAATCTGTTTTTAAGGGATTGCAGCTTTTTATATTTTATTAATAGACCCTCAACTTCTTTTCTAAAATTAATATTAATAAGATAACTATATAATTTATTTAAATTAAGACATGATAAATAATAATAACTGTAAAATGCATTGTATGCTACAAATTTTTCTCCATATTCCCAAGGAGCCTTCAGCTTAGATTTTCCCAGGGAGCCTTCAGCTTAGATATTCCCAGGGAGCCTTCAGCTTAGATATTCCCAGGGAGCCTTCAGCTTAGATATTCCCAGGGAGCCTTCAGCTTAGATATAATGCAGCAGTTCTCTTCCATTTCTGGACAATTTAGGTAAATGTAGAACCTTTGTTTGGAACAACAAATTAAGTTAAATTAAAATAAATCAGTATTTTTAACAACTTTTTTATTAAAGAAAAAATATATATATATATAGAAAGAGTGCCTAATTTTTTTAATATTATTCATTTGTAAGAATAAATATATATATATATATATAAATAAATTGAATAATGTTTAAGGTACACATGGGGTCGAAAAATGTCAATAGAGGGTAAAAAAAACTTATAAAATGTTAAAAGTACTTTTGGGCTGTGTGTCACCAATAAACCTTTTTTAAATTAAAAAAAAAATCTTATTTATAAAATAAGGGTCTGCGCACCTTATTTTTTAACTCTTCTCGCTTCCACTCTAACTTTAAAAAACTTTTCACCTTAATTTGAAACACCATAATATGTACTTACATATATGATAAAAATACATATATACACACTTACATTTATGATAAAAATACATATATTAACACTTATATATGCTCTTATATAATGTCATGATCATTTCACAATCGCTTTAATAATGCTTTTTCATTTTATAAGAAATTTAAAAAGAATTAAAAGAAAATTGCAATTTTTTTGCTTCCATGACAATAAAACAAAAAAAAAAAAAATTCTTTTAATTGGTTTTAGTTATTATCAGAAAATAGTTTTTTTTGTTTGTTTTATTTTGTTGTGAAAGAAAAAGTAGCAATTTTTTTATTAGTTTTTATAATTTCTAAAAACATGAAATGTGAAGTTGTGGTACTGGTGTAGTGGTAGAGCGCTTGCTTCATAAGTGAGAGGTTCCAAGTTTAATCCCCACGTCGTCCCTGATAGTACCGCGCTGTAAATTTTTTCCCCATAAATGAGAAATATTTATGCAAAACTTATAAAATGTTAAAAACAAAACAAAAAAAAATTGAAAACTTACAATTCTTTGATTTTATTTTTAACTCAAAACCAAAAGACAATATAAAGAAATCAATATCTATTCCTGCAAAAGTTTGTTGCATCTATACTTTACTTGCTGCATCAATTCTTTAAAAAATCAGTATGTATATACTTTGTTGCATCTATCCTTAAAAATTCAGTTCATATGTGGACATATATTGCACTCATTTCTATATTATTTAGTAGGTATATTCAAACTTTGATACATATACAAAAAAAGACTTACAATTAATTCTGTATCATTTTTCCTTTAACTTAATGATATTAAGTATCTGTTTTTTTATCAAACATCTAGATTTTTATCCCTTTTTAAAATGTAACAAAATAGCTAGCAAAATCTAACTTTAAATTTAAAGTATTAAAAAATACATAATAAACACTAATTTTTGTCAAGAAAATTTTAAATGACTGCATTAAAGTTTGGTAATATTAAGACTCACTGTTATTAAGCATTCCATATTCTCTATTCCACATCCAGACAGTCAAAGTTAATGCCATATGATCTCCTTCTGTGACAGAGGGATATGGCAATGTAATGTGTATGAGTTGGAGTCCCCATACATGGTGTATGGGGACTCCAACTCATACACAGTTTTGTCTTCTCTCATATATCTTTGTGAAATCATGTCCTTTTTTAAAGATTAGTTTTTAAATGTCACATTCATGTTAAAAATCACTACTTGTATCTCTGCTGCATAGTTTTTTACTGGCCTTTTGTCTTAAATATGTGCTGAGATAAAAAAATTGGTAGGCTCTCTTATCAAACCCTTATTCTGACGCTGTTCTTAAGGTCCAAAAATGTAAAAAAACGATTTTTTTTTCATTTAAAAAAGAACCTGCTAACCCCAAAACCTCAGTCGTTGTTTGCATACTCCACTGCATGTTCTCTCTGAAAATCAGTCGGTGTATGTGCACACCGCTGCGCAAATCCCTATATACCCCATTTTGCCTATTTCCTAGTAATACAATCTTGCAGACGCAAAGGACACCTAACTTCGGAATAGGGGTTTGACAAGAGTGCGTTCCAAAAAAATCTAAGTTTGATTTTTTGGATCTTCAGACCATTTGCAGAAGGCTGAAAGAAGAGGGATTGATGTTTCATTGTCCAGCCAAGAAACCAAAACTAACTTCCCTCATGAAAAAAGACTGGAGTGGGCTTGAAACTATTGTCACTGGTCTCTTGAGGATTGGGAAAAAGTATTTTTATTTGCATTCATATATAAATTATTTAAAAATATTTTATAAATATTATAACTTAAAATAAGCATTATTTTTAGATTTGCTTCTCACATGAGTCAACCTTTCAAGTAATGATGGACAAAACAACTTTTGTTCTTCATAGAACAAACAAAAAGTTTCTTTCTGACTGCATTGTAGAAACAGTCAAGCATCCAGCTTCAGTAATGATCTAGTTTGTCATTTGTGGGCAAAGAGCAGTGTCTCTACAAAGTGGTTTGGACAATGAGGCAGGACCAGTATAAAGAAATTCTGGAGAATTAGTTGCTTCCCCAAATGGCAGATTGGTCTAAAAATGTTAAAAAATTCAAAAAAAGTTACAAAATTTCAAAAATCTTATATTTATGCAAGATGGTGCAACTTGTGACACAGAAAAAAGTGTTATGGCTTTTTTAAAACAGAAAAAAGTTGATGTATTGCCTTGGCCAGGCAACTCATCTGATCTTTACCCCATAGAAAACGTTTAGAAAATAGTAAAGCGAGAGATTGGAAAAAAATTCTTACTGACAAGGAAGAGATTATTAGGATCTGGCACAATAAACCAGAGTTGACAGAAACTATAAAAAAGTTAATTGCAAGCATGCCACGATGCATCAAACAGTTATTGCAAGTACAAAATATTAATACTTTAATAGTATATATTTTACATCTAATCAACTTAGCAATGTTGCTGTGAAAGACGATAACAAAATTGCTAATTGTATTGAAATTTGGACAAAACGTAATTGTTTTACATCAACCAAACAAACTTCTCATGCTCTCATTACAATGTTACAAGCAACTATATCTCTTACTAATGATTTGGTTGAAGAAGTTCTATCTTCAAGTTTATAAAATGATCTTTTGGAACTACGTTTTAGTATGTATAGATAAATGTGTGGTAGTAAAAATATTACGCACAATATTGCTTAAAATATTATGCAAGATATTGCTTTGTTGTCATAAATGTAACATTATTGTCATAATGTCAGCTTTCTGAATATAGCATAAAAGTTGTTGGCACTATAGTAAGTTACATTGGTAAAAATTTAAAAAAAGGATCTGGATGTTGAACTTGTGATCAAAAAATATTATTGCTAATAATGAATACCTGAAAATTTCAAAGAAGAACCTATATATCCGATTCAAACTCTGTCTGATTTTATTTGATATCTTTTTAGTATTCTAGATAATATTTCTTCTATTCTAATCAAAGATTGCAGTTATTCTTCTTCAATTAAAAGTTTTGAATTATTACCTAATTTTTCATAACTAATTTGAAGTACAAATTTTAAAGATTTATTATAGCAGTGTTGATTTCACAAGTGAAAATCACCAAGAGTGAGGAATCAAATATAGATCTCGTTTTGTTTATAATACTTTTATAATAATTTGCAAAAAGAAATCACATATACTATTAGAAAGGATCCTGTGAAAGAATTAAAAAAAAAAAGACAAAGTCTTTGTCAAAGACTCTTAATATTAAAATAATAAATATTCTTAATAAAAAAATATTTCTTCATTTCTTTTAATTTTAATTGTAAATAATACAAACCTTTAATTTTGTTTTTAATGTTATAGCAGTGTTAGCAACATATAAGGTAACATGTTGATATAAAGCTATCTGAAAAGCCTATTTCAGTATTCTGTGTTATTGGAATAAACTGACCCAGACAATCAGTTAGTAAAAAAATCCAGCACAAAATAATGTAATAACTCAAAGAAAATTTAACTATTTTTTGACCGTTTTAATAAAATAGTTTAGTATAGTTTGTTATCAAACACAAATCATAATTAAAAACTTTTAAACCGTAAAAAAACTTTTTTTTTGTGGAAAATACAGCAAAGCAGGCCGCGTAATTTAAGTAGGCCATGCATCTATATATTTTAGTTTTAACTTTATTATCATAGAATTATATTTAAATTGATTGGTTAAAAATAATTTTTTTTTCAATAGTGTATCCTGAAAATGATCCAGTTGCATTAACTTTAAAAGAAAATGATGTAATTCCTAATGATCTCTTAAAAAATAAATTGGTTGATAATGAATCAGATAATTCTGAAGACCATAGTTTTGTTGGTCCATTACTAGCACCTATTAACCAAAGAGCAGTACAAATTCCAGAGAGTGTTATTAAACATAACCAAATTGATTTAATAAGCATATTGTCTATGGAAAAGTTTAAGAACTACAAAGCTGGTTCACCAACTAGGGTAACTATATTATTTGTTAAATTTTGTTTATCTTTCTCTTCTCTAATGTATTTATAATATATTTAAATAGTTTTTCTACTTTTTTTTTAATTATCTTAAAATATTTTGAAAGTTATTTAACATGTTTACAAGTTATTTGAAGTTGTTAACTTGTTCGACAATTTTTGTTATTTTACTACTGTTCTTTAAAATATTTGATCTTTTAGCTGACCTTTAATAAAAGTTCATCAAAACTATTAATTCATTGCTGATTGTGTTTTCTTTGTTCAATCATTTTTCAATTAAAACTGATTAGATTGAGAAAATTTGCATGATGTAGTGATTTTATAACATAAAAAAGCATTAGTTCAACATATAAAAATTTGAAATTAAATTTATTACTTCTAACTTATATTTTGAATATTAAATCAAATTCTTTTGTTTAAGAAAATTTGTTTAAAATTTTTACTTGGAAATTAAATAAGAAATTTGGTCAAAATATTTTTATAAAATTAACTTATTTTATGACAGTTTTATGGAAACAGTTTGATTTCAAATGAAAAAAAAAACTAAATTTGCAAATTTCTAGTCAACAATGTTGTTTGTACATTTTATATTTATGTCCTTGCATGTTGTTTTTGCTGTCAATAAAAAAGAACATAGATTCATCAATTGAAACCATGTTATGCAGAATTTAATCAATAAATCATGTTTTACTCCCCTTAACTCAAGCGACTCCAATTCAAGCAATTGAAGTCAGTTATCATTTATCAGGTTAAATTGCTTAATTGCAGGATATTATTTTGTGAAACGTCTTTAAACATTCTCTACTACCTTTATTAGTTCAACATGATATGCTTCAAATGATCTAGAATCTATAGTAGTTTCAAAAGACGACTCAAAAAATTTTAAATTTTATGACAATATGTTTTACAAAAGCTCTTTATTAATGAAAGCACTGCAGGAAACTTTTTTTTTCTATTTTTAAATTATTTAGAAGCAAATTGCAATCATTTTTAAGAAAAAAGAATTACAATTTTAACTTTAGAATAATAAAGTTACTGTTTTTAGAATAAATTGTTTTAGATTTTTTAAAATTGGATCAAAATGATGACTAAATTTGTTCTTCATTACCATGAAAAATCAAAACCAAAAGTTTTTTTGTCTAGATTTTTACTTAAGTTATTATTTAAGTTTTTTCGTTTTGATCTTTCCTTGAACCAAATATTTATTTTTAATAACCTAAAGATTTACACCTTTTATCCTTGGTTTAATATTTTTTCTGGCAGTTTTACCTTTAAAGTGGCTTTATTCTCTGATAAAAAAATCATATATTCTGTTCTCATTAACATCAACTAATTTCCATTGGTTTAAGCTTTGAATAGGCTTTTTCTGCACACCAGTTCTTGTCCCTACACTAAAGAAGCCATATGACACCAGATTTTATTGCTGAAAAAAATGTTTGATTTTTTTTAGCTTTTATTTTAGTGTTTTGAGCAGTTTTAATATTATTAATACTTGTTGTTGTTTTAATTTTTTTTTTATTAAAAAGGTGTATTATATATAAGCACCCTGATATATATATATATATATATATATATATATATATATATATATATATATATATATATATATATATATATATATATATATATATATATATATATATATATATATATATATGTATATATATATGTATATATATATATATATATATATATACACATATATATATATAAATATATATACATATATATATATATATATATATATATATATATATATATATATATATATATATATACACACATATATATATATATATATACATATATATATATATATATATATATATATATATATATATATATATATATATATATATATATATATATATTATATATATATATATATATATATATATATATATATATATATATATATAGCAACCCTGCTGTTATGTAAACATATATCTAGCAACCATGCTGTTGCTAGATATATGTTAACAAATGTTATATGTTGCTAGATATATGTTAACAAATATGTTAACAAATGTTATATGTTGCTAGATATATGTTAACAAATGTTTTTAGATACTTTATATTAAGAATCTTTCCAAAAACATCAAAGAGTGTAACTTAGCAGAACTGTTTGGGAGATTTTGTGTTAATAATCCTTCAGAAGTCAAGTACCAAGTAATGAAGGGATTGATGAGAGGACAAGCGTTTGTAACATTTCTTGGTATGCTTTTATTTTTTATAAATATTTTTATTTTTAGGTATTACTTGTTTATTATTTGTGTATATTTATTATTTGTATTTACTTTTATGTTATTAGTATCTATGCTTTTGTTTTTATACACACTATTTTAGTTTGCTCATAACTTTTTTCGTCTGTTTTTTATATTTGTGTCTATCAATAAATTACACATAAAATAAATACATATATTAAACCCACAGCTACTGTGTTTTGTCAGAGTAGTGGATAAAATTGGCAAAGCACTTGCTCAGCTGTACAACAAATTATTATATTAGTAAAATTTTTAATATTATTATTTAAGAGATTTTAATTTAACATTCAAGTGTTTTCTGGTGGAATAGTTCACCATTCATCATTAAATAAGATTTTAGTTTTTTCCTATAAATAGTTGTTTTTTTTGTCACGGATGATATTTGGAAGTATATTCCAAAGTGTAGGACCATATTTGGAATTATATTCCAAATATCGTCCTAAACTTTTCCATAATCCACCATTATCCCACTGGATAATGGTCGATTACTAAAACTATTGTTTCATTTTTTTCCCTTTAATTTCAGTGTTCTTTCTGACATTGAATAGTGAATTAAATTGCATAATGACGCTGGTCCTTTCAGAATAATAGATTTGTGCATTATTAAAAGGACCTTGAAATATATTCTTTCTCTAATTTTTAGCTAATGCAATTTGTTAAATTCATGGTTGTTTATATGATTTTCTATTCTAGTAGTAAATACCAGTCTTGCTGCACAACTTTTGAACATATTGCAGTTTTTTTAATTGTGACTTTTCAATTCCAAAGTAGAGGGAGTTACAATAATCTAGCTGTGCAAATATTAGTGAACATACTATGGTACACAAATCTTTGTGCAATAAGAATTGTTTTATTTTAGATATTTTGCTCAATATATTGTAGCAGAATTTAACAATCTTATCTTATTTGTATTTTTAAAGATAATTCGTTGTCAAATATTACCCCTAAACATTTTGTTGAGTCAGCAAATTTAATGCATTCCGTGTTAATAAAGGTACCCTTAATAATAATATCTTTTTTAATGCTAGGTGGTGCCATAATTAGTATTTTTGTTTCCAATTAGTTACATAATTAATACATAAGAATTATTTACTCATCCATTTAGATATGTATTCAAGACATTTTGGTATATTTAGGACTAATGCATTATATTGAGCTGAAGGAAGGAATGCTTTTAAAGTTTGGTGATCATCTGAGTATCCAAAACTTTTAAAATTAATTATGTTCAGATATTTGTATAGTGGTCTCATATAAATATTAAAGGGTTTTGGACCCAGGACTGTACCTTGTGGTGCTCCATATTTTACATTTTGGTTCGTGGAATACGAGTTACTAATTTTAACTTTTTGTGTACGGTTAACTAAAAATAATTCGAACCACTTGTGAGCTGAGTCAATTATACCTATTTCACTGGTCCAAGTAGTAATATGTTATATATTCTGATGATTACCTGAAATAGGTCTGTTATAAATGTTGTTGTTATGCATAGCATATACTTTAATATCATCATAAATTATATGATATCATTAAGAATATCATTTTATTTTTTATAGCACTCTACATATTTTGACTTGTGCTTACATGATGGGGTCATTTTTTAGTTGTTTAGATAAAGTATATAGATAATTAAATGTTCAAAAATATATGCAGAGCTTGAAATATTGAATTTTTTTTCTGGACAATTTGTTCGATAAATATTCAAGTTTAGTGGACATGTCCGATAAAACCTAAAGAAATGTGATCAAACGCAATTCTTTACCACGCTTAAGATATTTTGTTTTTACAAATTTAAAAGATAACTTATCTAAAAAAAAAAAAATCTTAAAGAAAAAGAAAAAATATAAGCTCAAAAAACTAAAATTTGAAAAGGAAAATGTATTTATATTATGTTTTTTAAAAAATTACTATACTATGCGAAATGCTTTGTAAATTATTATAAATACATTGAATACATAAATTATTAGGTTTACTTATTATTTTATTAAATAAGGTAACAAATTAATTCTAATGATTGTTTACAATTAACCTATTTTATTTTAATTACCAAAGAATATTATACGTAAATGCATATAAATATAAATACATATAAATATTTATTTTTTAATAAATCTTTTTCAACTTTTTCTATGATTGCTTTTATAAACAAATGTTATGTGACAAAACTTAAATTTAATAATGTAATCAAAAACAGTTTCTATAAGCATTAAAAAAACTATAACGTTAAAATTTTTATATAATAAATTTAAAACGGGTTTTAAAAACTAAAATATTTGTTTGAAATTTATAAAAACCATTGGAAAAAATAAAATAAATACTGAAATATAAATATAAATTAATAGTTAATTGCAACATCTTATATAAGTAATAAAAACTGATGAAAACTAAATATAAATAATAAAAACTGACAAAATGCGGAAGTCAAAAATATTTAATGCTTAGGCGTGTCAAAGTGTATTTTTTGCATTTTCTATTACTAATTAGATAATTGTACAAGCATTTAATAAAACTTAAATAAAAGCTGTACAACATTTTTTCTTTAAAATGCCATAATACATAAGAATTGTGAAGTTTGCCTTTTTCGTAAAAGTTGAAAGCATTCAACAAAAGCTTTTCAATTATAATGCGATTCTTATAAATACCTTTAAAATATCAGTAGTTTTAGGCTCCTGTAACAAATAAGATCGTATTAATTACAACACAGAAAGCAAAAGATTTTAAACTATTTGTAATTTTTTTTTTTATTTATCAATACTTTGTTGTTGTAAAAGATCTATTTAAAAAAAAAAAATAAGCGCTAAATTCATGTAAAAAGTCTAATGACGTATATTTCTGCATGTGCTTTATCTGAACTTTTTTTTACGCAAATTATTTTTAGTCTATACTAACCCCTCACACCATAGCAAAAATAATTTGTTTAAAAAAATTTTCCATCAGAAATGGTTTTCATTTTCAAAACCACAATACTTTGAATAACTATTATCTAAACTTTGAAAATTATCTGTCTATGTCTTTCAAAAAAAAAAGGGGGTTAAACGGGCAGGTCAAGTTTTTTGGTGTTTAAGATAACTTCTAAAGATGGTGCAAACTTTAAATTTTGTATTACTAGTATCAAAAAAAAATTTTTTACAAAAAATTACAATGATAGGAGCCTGGGAACAATATACACCTGAAATTTTTTTTTTAAATGCATATGATTGCCTTTTCCCTAAAAAATATTTGGACTTTAGGGACCTAATTTGAGAATAATATTGTTCCCAAACTCTAGTCACCATTTTTTAAAATTCATATTATTTGTATTAGTGTATTATACATATCTGGAGCTTAATTATCTTGAACAATAAAAAAAACTTTAAGCGACACAAACTAATGGCTACATTTATATTCATTTTCATTTGCAATCAATAATAGTTTCTAAATAATACACACACACACACATATATATATATATATATATATATATATATATATATATATATATATATATATATATATATATATATATATATATATATATATATATATATATATATATATATATATATATACATATATTACAGCATATTTAATTTTAAAGTAAAACTGTTTTAAAGAAAGCATGTGGAGAGTTGTACGTAACAGTGGCTTTAAGCAGGCTTTGCGGATAGTCTTTTTAAGGTTACAAGAAACTTTGTATCCACTCTTCCAAAACTTTTTGAAATCATAATGAACAGATTCAAAGGCCTGTTCAGACCAAAAACCCAATCCTTTATTCGGATAGAATTTGACATATGTGAAAGAAATTCACATGTATGCTTGATAAGAGTATGCACTTTCAGTAACACTTGTAGACCAAGTTTAACATAAGTATTGTTGTATTCGTTAATGGTTGACTCATATTCAGGAAACAAACTAGAACCAAAACATGCAACTTTAACAGATTTTAAATATGTTCATCTTTTTCCAGTTTGGAAGATTTTGTTAATTCTTCTAACACATGAATATTTTCTAGTTGTTTTGAGCGTTCTGCACCTTTAAATTGACCCCCATGCAGCTTAGGCCTTTGAACGCCTAAAATTTGGTTTGTTGATAAAGTGGCAACCATAGATTGCAAATATTTTTCAAGATCATTATAAATTCTGTTTGTGTTTTCATAAAGTAAATAAAGTTCCAAGAAATATGACCCCAATATTTTCAAAATTTAGATAATAGTTGTTCCAAGTATCATGGTTTTAAAAGTGTAAACCGCTTCTGGTGGATTTTTTTTTCAAATAAATTATTTCTGCTAGGGTGTGCCCTATGATATAAAATGACTAGAATATGCAAGAACTCCCCTGAATGTCAAAATGTTTATAAAAAATAGTGACAGGCAACTCAAAAAGTCTGCGGAGGACCAAAATTAACAAACTGATTACTTTCAGATGCCCTTCTAGCAACCAACCTAAAATCTGAGTGTGCACCCCTGATATTACATATATATATATATATATATATATATATATATATATATATATATATATATATATATATATATATATATATATATATATATATATATATATATATATATATATATATATATATATATATATATATATATATATATATATATATATATATATATATATATCTGTGTGTGTGTTTGTGAAAGTAATATAAAAGTATATAGTGTGAATATAGTTTTTCACACTATATACCCACTATATTCATGTGAAAGAACATGTTGTCAGAGAGAACCTTTTCAACTTTTTCTTTCTTATCATCTTCGAGTTCTTTATCTGTGAGACTTAATGAAATAAAGGTATGATCCAAACATTACGTATTTCTCTCCATTGATTTCAATATTTCTTCAATTCCCTCTAGTACATCAATAGCTTCAGGATCACCCAAGGTTCTACCAAATTTTTATACTAGACCATCTGCCAGTATGCTTTTTAAAAAGGTGCAGAGGAAACTAAAGAGCAACGCACAAACC